AACAAACACTGACTGAACAATGAACTACTTTTATTCAAAACATATTCCTAGGAAACCAAGCTTAAGAAATACAACCACATTCATCCTTAGTGTTCTGGAAAACTGTGCATATTCTCAAGGCTGCACCTGCTCAGGAAAGACAAGAGGGGCATCTTCCAAGTACTAGTTCCTGGCTGAACATGAGACAAAATTTTAGACTCTCTGAACTGTGAAAGCAGTCTCCTAGTCACACATATCCAATGGATAAAGGGTAAAAATGAACTCACTAAGGGACTTAAGTATAATATTTGATTATTAAGTGGTTTATACTGGCCCAAGCATAACACCTAGGAAGGCAGGCTAAGAGGTAAAAACAAGGAAAAACAGCCGATCAGGGACAGCAGAGCCTTCACACTGCCAGGAAAATACAGGTCACAGAATTAGTTCAGCCAAGTCATTAGACAAATAAACAAATGGAAAAACAACCAACAATAGTAGCCCTGGTGATGGTGGTGGTGGGGGTACTACTCAGATTGCTACAATCTGTTATCTAAAATGTCTGGTTTTCAACAAAATTGTGAAACATGCAAAGAAACAGGAAAGTATGATGCATACACAGGAATAAATACAGGCAATAGAAAATGCTTTTGAAAGATTCTAGTTATTAGACTTAACAGACAAAGATGACACAGAAGCTATTATAAATATGTTAAAATAATTAAGGGAACTATGTGTAAAGAATGAAAGGAAATTAGATAATGATTTATCAAATAGAGATAAAAATTACACACACACATGCATACATACATATACATCTATGTTTTAACTCCAAAATCTCCATTTGGATATTATATAAAAATATGGGAGTTGAAAAGTGTAATAACTTAAACAATTCACTAGAGGGGCTCAACAATAGATGTGAGTTGGGAGAAAGAAGAATCTACAAACTCGAAGTTAGATCAATAGAGATTATACAATCTGAATATGAGAAAGAAAAATGGAAGAAGATAAATGAACAGAGTGCCCAAGAATTGTGGGACACCATTAAATGTACCAGCATATGTATGATGGAGTACTGGAAGGAATGGAGAGAAAGAGAGAAAATATTAAAAGAATTAATGACTGAAAATTTGCCATATTTGATGAAAAACCCTAATCTATACATTAGTGAACTCTAAGTAGGATAAATATAAAGAGATTCACATCTAGGCTTATCATAATACAGATGTTGAAAGCCAAAGACAAGAAAATCTTGAAAGCAGCAAGAGAAAAATAATTCATCCTATATAAAGCATAAAAATAAGATTAACAGCTGATGTCTCTTCAGAAACAATGGAGACCAAAGGCAGTGAGACAACATTCAAACTGCTGAAAGAAATATAACTGTCAACCAAGAATCCTATATCCAATAAAGCTATCTTCCAAAAGTGAAAGTGAAATAAAGACATTCCCAGATAAACACAAACATAGAATTCATTGCTAGGATTCTTGCCTTATAAGAACTATTAAACTAAGTTCTTCAAACTGAAAGGAAGTGACAACAAACAGTAATTTGAATCTGCATGAAAATACAAAGAACTCCAGTAAAGGTAATTTTATGTAGGTAAAGATAAAAGAGTGTAATTACACATTTCTTTTTCCTCTCTTAACTAATTTAAAAGCAATCGCATAAAATGATATCTATAAAACTGTATTGTTGGACTATAACAGATAGAATTGTAATATATCTGACAATTAAACACAAAAGAATGAAGTAATATTGGAGAAAGGAAATGACACCAGATGGTAACTCGAATCCACAAGAAGAAATGGAGACAGAAATGGTAAATAATAAACTTAATTAAAAAAATTCTATGTATTTGAGTTCTTTCTTCTTTTAGCTTAAGAAGACACATTTTATAGAGCAGTCATTATAACAGTGTATTGTTGAGTTTGTAACATGTATAGACATAATGTGAATAGCAATAATAACAAAAAAAGAAGATAGGGAAGAGCTATCTAAAAGTTTCCGTATCATACTGAAATTAAGTTAGTATAAATATAAAACAGAGTCTGATAAATTAAGATGCATATTGTAAGCCCTGGAGTAACCACTAAGAAAGTAACCCAAATGTGAGTCATTAAAAGAATTAAAATGTTAGGAAATATTCATGTAAGACAAAAAGGAGTTGTCAAAGAGGAAAGGAGGAACCAAACAGGAGAACTATATAACAACAATTGTGTGGGTTTTCCATGGTGTGGTCTCTCAATATTCAATATTCAGTAATCCAGTAGATTTTTAGATTAAATAACTTTCCTTTTTTTTAGACTAATTTTTTTCCCTCAAATTAGTACTATATTCATGATACTCCTTATATTTTAAATCTTTTAAGCAAATTAATATAAATCTTGGAACAGATTTTGTTTGGGTTGATTCTTGTATCTAATTTTCTGCTTCATCACTCTCCCCTTAAAAATATTAGGTTAATAATAGAAAACACTGACAGATATACACACAGATGTACACATTGAGATACATACTTTATTTTGCACCATTAGCTATTTAACTACATAACTCACCTGATAGTTATTCTCTAATACTGCCAACATTGAAAGAAAGATATATTCATTTATATACATGTTCTGGTACTACACATATCCAGAGAGATAAAAGTGGCCATTAATTTTGGAATGTATTTAAATTTAGCGCATGAAAACAATCATTTAATAACTCAATGAATACCTTAATATTTTTTTAAAAAAGAGTGTACATATGTGTGGTTGTGTATAATAGAAGGTACGTAGTAATGATTAATGGTGTTCATAATTACACAAATACTAAGAGCATTGTGCATGTTTGTGTATAACAGTATATTACTTAGAAATATATGTATGGCCTATGTTAAATAACTTTATATGTTCACAAATAGTATAGAATTTTAATGGCATGTATGTATATGTGTGCATGCACATGTAAATATACACAGGAACACCACACTCTACCATACACACATACATACACACAAGAATATTGCACTGTACCATGAAACATTATAGATGTGCTTTGGGTTCTTAAGAAAGATAGGTGTGCTTTTGGCATAGTTGTCTGACAATTTGGTAGAATGGTTTAAGTATACAACTATGAGAATCAGACTGCCTGCGTTCAACTCTCAGCTCTGCCATTTGTTAGCCTTGTGATCTGGTATCTATAAAATATAATAATAGTAATAATGTCTTCTTCATGGTGTCCTTGTGAGGATTAAATGTCTTCTTTATGTAAAGTTCTAGACAACAACAGGCAGTAAGTGCTCAATAAATTTTAGCTATTGTTATTGATCTTCTTGTGATTCTGCTCTTTCAGGAGATAAAAGTTTTGTTGTTTTTTTTCCACATCTGGAGCATATGTTAAGTTTAGATTATGTTTCTCATCTAAGAATAGAGCTTCATAATATGCCTTTTATTATGATGGTATCTGCAACTGTCACACCTTTATCTGTGATCCTCTTAGAGTTTGCAAATTGCAATGTACAGCTATTAGCACATCATGAATATTACCCAGGTGATGGCTGCTTCCCAGGAATAATCAGGTGTATTTATTTTGCTTTTCACGGACTTTTGTGTATTATGTAAATATGGTGGGGGTACGATGATGACACAGACTATTTTGAGAATCTTCCACGCGGTCTGCCTGGTCTCTCCCTCTTCCAATTCCATTTATACATAAGAGCAGAAGATGTTGGTGTCTTTTGTTCACTGTTATGTGCCGAACACCCAGAAGAGCACCTACTACACAGTATCACAAATAAATGCATCATAGTAGCTCATAATCTAAACCATCCATTTGATTTCCAATGTCTACAAGTCCACTGATTTTATGCCAGTCTCAAATTACATTTATAACTACTTATCCAAATATACTAGATGCTTCTGTTAAATTGAATAGCTGTCATCTAAGCATCCTCCTTCTTTCTTTCCTTTATGTGTATAGAGGTGCTATTTCATCTACTTATCAAATCTATGCTATCCCTTCTTTGGTTACAGATCCCACCAGTCTACCAAGACCAGCTTAAATTCTACCCATCTACTCTCCTCACCTGCATGCCTCTATCTTTCTTGACATATCTTTCTCATCTCATTTAGTTATTTTTGTGTCTAGTACATTTAATTGTGCATGCCATGTCTCTCTTCAGAACAAGGACCTTGCTCTTATACTTTTGCACCCTCCATAGTGCATGAAGGTGGGTAACAACTATTTGGCAACAGCAAATATTTAACGAGGAACCACTCGATGCCAGATACTGAGCCCAGTTTCATAGAATGTGAACGATATTTTCTTCCTGTGTTCCCAAAAAGTATTTGCTAAATGAACGATTAAACAAATTCACATTTTGAGCAGAATGCTGTTGCAGAACAGGCTCTGGACTTGGCAGTGAGTATGCTGGGTTAAATCCAGTCTCTGTAACTTTGAGGTGATAACTTCCCCCTTGAAGAGCCTTGGTTTGAAAGCAAGAATAATAGACTCAAGTTGTAGCATTAAATGAGATAAAATATTGGGAGGTTGGAGGACTTGTAACCAAAGTGCTTGGATGGGAGAAGATATCAAATATGGGTTTGTTTCTTCCTCTAGAAATGCTATTTGAATAAAAGTGAAATGACTGGTTCTCATGGGTGTCATTAGCTTTTTTTTTGATGTAGCTCCAAATCTATCAATCTTCTTTGAATGGGCCAAGCAAATTCTTACAGTACCTAGCCACTGTTATTGGGGCCAGGCTATGCCACTGCTCTTCTCTCCTTCTAGAAGCTCTCTGGTAAAATGCTATTTGTTGGCTGTGGTGGTTATAAACTGCTTTTCTCCTCCTATCTTTCATGAAATGCTTACAAGATTCTATTTTGATTTAATATGATTTCATTTTATCTATAGCAGAAAACACAAGTCACCCATCTATGAATTTGGTGTCCTCTCCATTCTACTCTCCTTACACTGGAAGCCAAGGGAAACTGCATTCTTTCATCCCAATGATCTCCTCCATTCTTCTTTGCAGAGGCGTCCATCTTGAGCTATGATGGCAGCATGTACATGAAGATCATCATGCCCATGGTCATGCACACCGAGGCAGAGGATGTGTCCTTCCGGTTTATGTCCCAGCGAGCTTATGGGCTGCTGGTGGCTACTACCTCCAGGGACTCCGCCGACACCTTGCGTTTGGAGCTGGATGGAGGACGTGTCAAGCTCATGGTTAACTTAGGTATCGTATGAAGTACCCTCTGCCATTCCGTTTGGGCTTGTCTTCCCTTTCTTTTCTTATTTTCATTGGTTTGATTGAATTCTTTGTTTGTTTCTTGAAAGTTAGCTGCTCACCTCTTGTTTAATAGACCAAGGATAAAACCCAACAGCAACAAACACCTTCTCCTTGTTTATGCATGAGGTTTTGATGTCAATTTCTGGTTTCTGACCGTGGTGGTTTTTTGTTTTTTTGTTTTTTGTTTTTTGTTTTGTTTTTTAAATTAAATTATTTGTTTTCTAAGTTTCCTTTCTTGGTTTTTTGGAACTGTTTAGCTTTGTGTAAAACACGCTACTTTGGTCCATCTTTTGATCAATCACATTCTCATTAAGTCCAACTCCTTGGTCACCACTCAAAACAGTCAAAGACGAGGTCAGGGATAGGGCAGGAAATGGAGCCCAGATGGAAGGATGGGGTTGGCAAGAAGTAAGCTGTGAGAGTAGAAGGAGAAATGCATTGTTTTTAGCTCCACAAATGACAATGGTGAATTCTGGTGGCCTCGATGACACTGGTATCTCCTTACACTTTCTTCTAATGGGGAGCACAAGTCAAATTATTTCTTTTGTCCCATTGGAGAAATAATTCTATAACTCTGGAGTCTCTGACATGTGGAAGGAGAATGTGGCTGATATGTACTTCCGTTTTCCCTCCTGACATTTTTATCCATCATTCAGAAGTCCTTTCTATAAAGATTTTATGTCACACTGTTACTCTTCAGTTACTCTGATCTCCTCATATAATACATATACATTTTTTCTTAGTATTGAAAAATTATGTAATACCAAACCTGTAGCTTTATTGGGAGAGGATCTGTTCTTCTACTATATTACCTATAACAGATACTTTGGAAATACCCCTGCTTATGGCCTCACATTCTCTCCTGCTTCTATCTTCCTGACCGGATTGTAATTGATCTTCTATGGAGAATGGTGGCCTCTTGGTTTATGGAAGGAAAGAACCAGCATTCTATTTTCTGCTGTCAGTGGCCTGTGTTGACAGGATTAGTCATATAAATGAGTCCAGACTTTCTAAGCCTATAGATTCCTTTGGGTATGAAGAATATGTCTGGATATAGAGATCCTTTATAAAAATTTCTGTGGAATGATTTGTCAGAGGCATTGAGAAGACATGATAGACAAATATATTAGATGCAAGACCACATAAAACCCTAGACGGCCTGATGGGAAGGTGGGGTTTTGAATTCATACCAGTCTTATCTACTGTCAGGTTAACTGGTCACATTTGGAAAATGCCTATGCTACAATCTTCAATCTCTAGGAAACAGAAGACTGTTTTGAGCAGTGGCTTGTTTAGTTATGTCTTCTTTTCCTTCCAATTTGCAGCTTTTACAACACCGTGCCCTTTTTCTTGTCCACCAACTTCGATTTCTGTTGTCAGAGTGTCTCTTGGTTTTTCTTTTGTTTGTATACATATGTGTTTGGTTATTTTAGGTTTTGTTTTTTCTCTTTTGCTGAATCTTTGTTGTGTCCTTGAGTTTCTAGTCCTCCCCATCATCAGCCATGGTAAATCAAAAGATGGTATTCAACCCTTCAAAGGCCCAAAGCCTGCGGCCCGCATAGCAAACAGCCTTGAGAACAGAGCGTACTGAGCAGCCTGCAGGGACTGGCATGCCCCTGTCCCTCTCCCCTTCCCCTTCCCGCACCGTCCTCTCCACCTTCAACAAACCAACAAAAGAGAATATTACCTAAAACCAACAACCAGTAGTGGATTGTCTACTTCTCTGAAAAACAGCAGAAGAAATACAAAACAAATATTAAAAACAGCAACAACACACAAACAAACAAACAAACCCAAACAATACCTCTTAATAGCTGACAGAAAAAGAAGATGGAGACAATTTTTACCTCTGCTTCTATTTCAAAGAGAGAGCCATAGATTAAGGATGATTCAGCCCTGTAGTGTTATGGGGAAATGCACACTGTTTCTAAACAGATAGCTTTTTTTTTTTTAAAGATGTTGTTTTGTAAAGATTATAAAGCCAACTATAATGAGTCTCACATCTTAGAAAGAAGAATGGGGGTAGGGGGAGTAGATAAAAGGGGATGAGGAAAGAGATGGGCTGGCTCTCTTTCTTACACACACACACACACACACACACTCACTCACTCACTCACTCTCACTCACTCATAGATCCCATGTGCATTCCTAGAAGCATTATTTTTCTATTTTAAACTCTCACTAAAATCTGGGAGATGTGCTTTTCAGAAAGACTTTGCTTTTGCCTCTTGGTTTCTTTTGATGCACAATCAAGCCTAAATCCTCCTACGTTCAGACATGTTACTCATAAGAGAGTTCACCCTTCCCTAGAGAGTACTGTGCTTCTCCCGAAACAACTGTTTTTTCCCTGAAGGGTATGGCTCACCACAATGACTGGTTTGGATTTATTTAACTTTCTTTCAAACCTGACGTGGAAAACTGACCTTCAATTCTTTGTACTCGAGTATACACAACTCTTCATATTCAGGCTTCGTTTGAAGGTTCTCCTTCTACCCCCTCCCCAAAATGTACCCCTTTGTGAATGTTTTCTTGCTCCTTGTCATGGGTTCATATTTCCCTTTTATTGGTTATAGAAAAAGACATCTTCAAGCAGAGTTTGTGTCCACATGCATTTCCCCAAAAACTAATTGCAAATGATCACTTTGTTTCCTCCTTTTAAATCATGTCTTTTTTCTAGTGCAGGCTCAAATGATATTCTGACTTATTTCAAATTGGTCCCACGTATAAGCTCATGCTATAAAAGTCCAGTATACGTTTCTCTGATGTAATGTATCTCCTTCAAGTCAAGGAGACTGGGCTTTTCCAAGGGCCTTGTTTTCTGAAGACAGCCAGCTGTGGTAACAGCAGGCACGAGAAGTATCCTGCAATACACAGCACATTTAAAAAGGTCGTTTGCTATTGATCAATCATTTTTTGATCTCTTCGAATTAAAAGATATAATAATATTATTACGGTGTATTTCAAGATTTAAAAAAACTTTGTCTTATTTGAATTTTACAATAACTTTGTGAAATAAATCAAGAAAACATTTTTATGCTTGGTTTTACAGATGTAAGACAAAGAAAGACATATTTAACGTTTCAAAGCTCACATAAAAAGTTGGCAGGAGAGTTGGGGCTAGAATCCCTGTCTCTAAACTGCTAGGTCAGCATAGGTTATCTGTTACCACCACAGATCAATACCATGAGTCAATGATGTGACAGTCTTAATGACTTCTCACTTCTTTCCTAATGATCCCATTTTAACATGCATAGAGGGAAGCTCCTCGTTTCTTAGTGCCTGGCTTGAATTGAGCCAAACTAAGAAAAAGTCAGTGACATTGGCGTAGCTTCCTTTGTGGCCCTGTACAGCCCTCAGCAGAGTGCTCAGAACCCTTCTTGAATGACGGAGGCTCCCAGGGAGTGTCATGCATTTTAGTTAATTGCACTCAAATTCTCCAGATGTTCTCTTTCAGGGGACTTGCTGACTACAGTTTACTCTCTGCATCATTGAAGACACATTTCATCTCTTCCATGCTCAACCCCAAACTCATCAATATGGAAAATAATTATTTCTCCTCATTTACTAACATAAAAAACTAAATTAAACAAAATGAGCCACATACACACATATACCCCACAAACACCATACCAAGGCCAAGACAGAGAGACAGTGTTGGCTGCTACTGAAGAAAAATCTAAAGGAAATTGCCTTCTCAAGCTAATTTCCCAGATTCATTTTTTATTAAAAAATATATCCTTACTGTCCAGACTACCCTCTCTGAACCTAAGAGGTAGAGGGACTGAGGTAGCTTTTTCTCCTCAAACTATTTATTCTTTAAGTAAAGTAACAAAATAATCCTTCACTTCTTGACTTAAAATTCTTAAATTCTCCAAGTCTTCACATTGGTTTAAAGACACCATTCAGTTTAAGGAACTATTTGGGTGAACCCGGAGGACGAGGTAGTCTAAAAATAAAGTGCTCAGCTACACAGAAACTGAAGGAGAAAACCAGTCCTTGTTTACAAATCTTGGGTTTGTTGCTTTAGGCCTCCCTCCCTCTCGCTTTCCCTCTCGTTAGCCCGCCCGTCCATACCCCTGCTTCCCTGCTCCCTTTAATGCATCAGGAAGGGGCGTTTCTTCGGCTTTGGGTGATGGTCAGTGCAACCAGTAGCTGAAGCCTCACCTCTCTCTCCCTACCCGCCCTCCCCCTTCCCAGGTCTCACCAGGGGCATGGCCTCCTCTGCCTGATGATCGTACCAGTTGCTCCAGGGCTGTTTGCTCCCACTTTTCTGTTGCGGTTGACGACACATGACAAACCTAACCGCACGAAACCAAACCCAGATTTTTCTCAAGAGATGTTCTTCTGAGGAACGCATAAGCTTCCCGCCTTCTTCCTCAGAATGGTTGGGTGTTATCAATTGCTCCTGTCTGGATTTCACGTCATTTCATTCTGCCCTGTCCTTTGCCACTGGTTCCTTTTTAACTTAAAATAGTTTACTTTTGAAATGGTGGCATGACCCTCGACAAGTCCTCCAAAACTTTTAAGTCAGCTTTCGGCAGGAGAAGAGCACAGTTTCTGACTATTTTTTTTTTTTCTGTAACTTTCTTCCTTTCCTTTATCATTTTACTTCTACCTTTTAATACTGACTTTTTAAATTCTTATTAGAATTCCTACCATCATAAACTCAACTTAAGTTCAAGTGGGTGGCTTTGTAAAAAGTAACCTAAGACATTTCTGTACCCATTCTGCCCCCAATTCCCTACTAATGCCTATTGATTCTTCCGAAGACCTTTTACGTTGTGTGTCCATGACCATAAACAGATATTAACAAATGGATACTCTGATTTCTGGCACAGAATATCGTGTCTGGTTACCAGTACTGGAAAATTACCCACCCTTTCCTCCCTCTTTTTCATATGCACAAAAATAGAAACAAAGAATTTTTTCTCCTCAAGATGCAGAAT